CTAGAATTAGCAAAAAAGACTACTAATTGGGAAATGTGTAACTAACAATACACTAAGAAATGGGTTTTAAAATACATACTGAGAAAAACAGAGCAAGGAAAACAACAATGGCCTGACCTTGCAGGATGGAGCACAACGTGCTGAACTGCAGCATGAGCTTCCTGTTGACAAGTGACCGCCCGCCCAGGCGTTCTGTCACATCAGCAGATCTTTCTCAAAACTAAGTTTAAATGAGGAAAAATACATGCAAGACTTGTCTTCTCCAGGGGAGCAACCCAGCTTCTACCTGAAAACCAACAGTATGTCTTAAGAGCTCTCCCCATTTAGATCTGCAACGTTTTCTTCTCCTGCCCTCCCTCACCACACACACACACGAACTTCCCACGCTTCCTTACTATTCTGGCTGTTCTCTCCATCCTCCATGTCTGGTTTCTGACAGTCTTTTAGTTCTAACTCTTCCCGTCCAACTTCTGTGGGTTTTTCACCACGGTTATCAACATTTAAGTGCCTTAACACATAAACAGTTTACTACCTCGTGCCCAGTGACGAGGTTTGGGTCACACTACAGCAACTGTCAGCGTGCCGACCCTCAGCTCGCAGCACGTGCTTCTCTGAAGGGACGGTTACCTTAACCGCCCTGCCGCTGACCACGAGATGAGAGCAGATACACAGGCAGCTACCAGGAAGCAGTGGCATCAGGGAAGTTAATTAGCCTCGCAGCCATCCCTGACTACACGTGCAATTAAATCGTGCCCTACACCATCCTGCCTTGGCGTCTGTTTGCAGGCAACTGTTGTCTACTTAGGACTAGTTTTAACAACCTCAAGTACAGCTGGTTCTAAGCAAGTCACTTGGAATTTCCACTTCAGTTCCACCGCTAATCCCTTCGAGCCTTTCTGCCTGCCAGTTCAAACAATGACCGCGGACCTGCTGTTTCTGCATGTCGCTGGTAGCAAGTTCCATTCTCGGGTTCTCTCGGGCACCAGCACAAAGGTTTAGGGAGTGAACACCAGTAGCAACCTCAGGTCAAAAATCGCGCTGAAACAAAATCAAGTAAAAAAAACCCCAAATCCAAACAGATAAGAAAACAGAATATTTATTATTCTTTGTTTCTAACCAGAAAAAAGAAAAACCAAAAATGAAAGTGAATGAAACCAGCCAACTCTATCCCAAACTGTCGCAAGAATCAAAGTGTCGATTGATCTTGTCATGCCATTTTCAATGTATTTGCTAACTCAGGGAACGAAGAGGCTATTTTATGTTCTTGTGTATGTGGAAAGTTACTATTTTGTTTCAGTCTTAAACGCCGTGGGGCAGAGCCAGAACAACCGACTCACCTACCTCCTCCTGTTTGGCTCCTTATTTTCATCTTTCAGGCAGGAGGACTGCCTTTTCTTGGGACGCCTCCTCTGTGATGGTGTTTTGGGCATTAACTGACTATTTTGTTTCAGTCTTAAACGCCGTGGGGCAGAGCCAGAACAACCGACTCACCTACCTCCTCCTGTTTGGCTCCTTATTTTCATCTTTCAGGCAGGAGGACTGCCTTTTCTTGGGACGCCTCCTCTGTGATGGTGTTTTGGGCATTAACTGAGGTTCAGCCCCAAAGTTGCTGTTGAGCAAACACAGAAGACAGAGCGCTTCCCCCCACTGCCTAGAACAACGCTATCCACAACCCATCCGCAAAATACGGGTCACTCATTGAGAAAGATGAGCGCTGGGCGAGAAACAAGCGAGCGAGATGTACCGGCCACCGGGCACCAAGGGCCAAACCGAGCGGCTGAAGGCACGGCCACGTTAAATTGCAGTCGCTCAGCTGCGAGACCCAACGCCCGCCAGGCCTCGCACCAGGGCTGGCCC